TTAAACATAAACAAACAAGGAGGTAGAAGTGGTGTGGTGGTGGCCATGCTGATGGATGGCTCTTTCTAGGGTTTGTTGTTAGTTTGGTTTAAAGATTGTTGAAAAGAAAAGAGAAAGAGAGAAGGAGAGGATCGCTTTGGAATATCAAGACTGCTAAGTAATAAAAACCATCTATGTATTTGTACTTTTGTTTTTTTTTTTTTATTTCTTCTTCTTCATCATTTTTTTTGTTAGTGTTTCTAGCAGATTCTTATAATATTCTTATTCTTAATTTTTTTATTTAATTTAAGATAGTTTAGTATTGATTCATCTGTTTTTGGTTTTTTTTTTTTTTATGTTTTAATATTTTGTAAGACAACTATTCTCAAGGGTTTTTTTAATATATTTTTATGAATTTTTTTTTTTGGTAATTATTGGGGTATTTTTTATAGCAAATTAATGATTCTAATTGATCTTATAGAAAGAAATAAAATAGGTAAAAGGATTTTTTGTAATTGAAAAAGAAAACTAATTTTAAAATAATGATATTATGAACATGAAATGTGGTTTTGGTGTGAATATAGTGGTAGAAGCATTAAGTCCACTTTGTTTGATGATATTGTCAAAGTGAATTGGTTTAATTTTGACAACAAATGTCTTTTGCATTAATTTAGGCGTTTTGACCGTGTCATACTTTTTTTTTATCAATCCAATCACACACAAATTCCAACCATATATTATTATTTTAATTAAAATACTATTTAATATTTAATCAAACTAAGGTAGTTTAAACTCTGAGTTATAAAATAAACATTTTTGTTTTCTTTATTACACGCTAAGAGAGGAATCTAACCAGCTCCACTACATTGTTGAGTAATGACTGTCCACCTTTTCAAATTGTTCCACTAGATATTGTGTGCCCAATTGATTTTTGAAATAATAAAAGTGGAGTGGTTGACCTTAATAAAGATGCCAACCACACAGGAATCCTAAAAAGATATTGCATTACAACAATCACTTCTAAATATTTTAATTATATTTGGACAAAATCATTATCTTTTCTTTTAAATTTTATTTTTATCCTTATTAATACAGTACAATATTATATATCTTAATGTGTATGGTAGAATAATAAATACTTTAGCAGATCGTATTATATAACATTTATTATATTAAATAACACTAAACATAACAAAAAAGGGTGTTCGGTGTATTACTCATATCATATATATTTTTCCTCATTTGATTACTATTGTTTTTTCAATAGTGTTATAGCCTGATTTAACACGCCAAAAAGTCAAGGATTAAATCCAAAATTAAAAAGGTTTATTATTAGAACATTTGTTTTCTTATATGATAAAATATCAATTATTACATAATTTTTTTGTCGTTTAAGTCACCATAAGAGTTATGACTTGTAATGTTTGGATAACAAAGCCCAAATATAAGAGTCCATAAGTTGGGAGAAGGAGAGGCCCAATATGGGTAAGCCCAATCAAGGCTTAAAAACTTGGGTAGCCACAATCGATAAAAGGCTCAAACTCAAATCAAGATCCAATACCTATTGGATACACAAGGGCTCTATTTGGCTTATTATTTCTATTCATATTCTCAATCATATTCCCAAAATATTTATTTGTTTAATTATTTAGGAAATATTAATATATTTTTTTAATTACCTTTAAACCCCTTAAGTTTATTAATTTCATTAAATACCCCTAGAAAAAAGTTTAAAAATTAACAAAAACACCCCTATCCACCCATACTTGCCAGATTCCGACAACCACTGTCAGTGGTAGCCGGAATTTGTCACAATCACCTACAAAGGATCGGAACTGGCTGATAATTCACTGATCTGACGGCCAAAGAAATGATCGTCGTTGATGGTCAATGACAGCCAAATCTTGGCCATCGTTTACCGACAACGACAGTTAGTTATGGAATTTTGCGGCCGTCGACAACTAGATCTGGCATTTTCCGGAAAATGCCATAACGACGCCCTACTCGCCAGATCCTATCGGTCTGCGTCGTATCGCCATTTTTTGGCCAGATTCCAACAGTGGTGGTTGGAATCTGGCACTGTGGGTGGGTGAGGGTGTTTTTGTTATTTTATAAAATGTTTATTTATTGGGGTGTTTAGTTAAATTAGCAAATCTAGGGGGTTTTTTGTTAATTTTTAAATTTTACCTGGTAATACTCCCTTATTCAAAATCCTATCCAAAATAACAAAATAAACGGACTCAATGCTTGCGAAACTCACTTCGAAATTTTTGGTTTTGGATGATAAAAAATAAGTCATTCTATAATTCTAATTATTATAGTATTAGACCTTTCACCTTTTATTAGGATTAAGGGTTTAACCAGGGGCGGATTTAATGAATGACGAGTGGGGACCACAACCCCCACTCAATTTTTTAAAAATTTCAGATTTTCTATTTCTATTTCTATTTATTTAAATTTTATCTTTATAAATCTTTGAGATTTTAAGAACGGAATAGCCGGCCCCCACGATAAGTTTGGATTTTGTTTTTGTAAAATCTCGTTTTTAATTCTAATATATTTATTACATATTCTTTGTGATTTTTATTTTTATGCAAGGGATCTATTAGNGTGTGTATCCCCTATGTCGACTCTAATGAAAAGTAAAATAAAAAAGTTAATAATGATTAAGGTTAAATATTTTTGGAGAAGCTATTTAAGACAAACATATAAGTCTTTTGCAATAAGTTTTTCTTAAGTCTTTCAGAGGAGAAAACAAAAAAGCCCTTAATTTTTATAATTTATATCGCAAAGTTTTATGGAGGATTTTCATATGAAATTTCATCAATTTCTATACTTATGACTGGTTTGGGAAAATTGTCTAATATTTTGTTTTTCCTATTATAAAGTTATAATGTACATTGAAATATCATATCCTCAAGTATAATTTTTTTTTTCTTTTAAAGATGAAATATTCATATGATCTAATCATTAAAAAAATAATAATACTCTTTATTGAGAGATAATAGAGTGTAATTTATATTGAATTTTTTTTTTTTTTCTTTCTTTTAAAGAATGATCTCATCATTAGAAATTAATAATACTGTTTATTAAATAATATTGATCATACTCAAGTTTTAAAAACAAAATACGCAAAATAAAATAGAAAAAAGAAATTAAAAGTAAATACCAGAAAGGTGGGTTTCTAGATGAACTAGAAAGGAGTGTCCCTTGTTTTCACCACCCAGCTTTGTAGCATATCAAATCAAGGCGACAAAAAATAATAATAATAATAATTTTGAAGGGGTAGTGTTATAACTTCGAAGAAGTTGGAATATGTTAACAACGGCTAGAATATGGTTGTAGATTTGACCGGAAACAACCATATATGCGCACGACCGGCCAGATCCAGCTGACCGTGTGTCATTTCGACAACTACCGACTACCATCCGAGATAGTGACCGGTTGTCCTCTTGGATGGATGAGATGCTTTAGTCAAATTTTAAAACTTTTATTGTGGGGGTATTTAGCTAAATTAAAAAATATAAGGGGTTAAAAAATTAATCTTAAATAACAATTATAATATAATAATATAATAACAATATTAAAATAGAAGGGCAATTCAGTAATCTATTTAACATACCCACCAATTTATTCTAACCTAACCAAACATATTTATCTAAACATTCACATTAATCTTCTAATCTATCTTTCTATTAATATAACATTCACAGTATTACAACATTCTCTTAACCAAACACAACCTCAAAGGATTACCCGATTCCATTGACTTTTATTTAAAACACTTATCAACATGACTCATTAATGTGTTTAGGATAAATTTAATTTCTACATAGAAAAGATAAAAACTGGGGTAATGGTTTATAAATAAATGACTTCTTTTAAGTAAGGTCTCCTTTAATTCACATTGAATTACATATATGTCCTTATATGTAATTTTTAAATAAAATAAATTATCTTTATGTCTTCATATGTAACTTTTAAAATAAAATGATGAAAATATCCTTTAGAATAGAAGGGCGAAATTGCCCTTTTATCAAATTAACTTTTGCCACCAAATTAAAATATTTTTTTTATACTTTTTTTCTTCTTTCATTTTATTTTCCTTCTGCTGAAAATGAAATTATTAAAAAAAAAAAAGAAATGACAAAAATTACTTCAGTCGGTGACCAAACTCCCAGCGAGGAAGTCCGTCGTCTTAGAAGTGGTATGTTGTGGCCTTGTACCATTACTATCAATCAAAGAAGACCAAAGCAAGATTTGATGTGCCCTCTTATCTCTACGAAGTTGGAATTTGATGATTTTTGTTTCGTTCTCTTTCATGGAAAGGTTTAAAAGGATTCTTCTAGTAGAGTCAGGATTTCAGGTTTTGTCTGCTGTGGTATGTATCTTTAGAGGATTGAAGGGTGGGAGGTTCTTTCTCTCTAAAACAAATAGGGATGGTGTTCAAGGTGATGTGATTGGGCCGGGGTGTAGTTGCTGTGGAGGAATGATATCCAAGGGCATAAAAGGGTGAAATATGGAGTTTTAGAGTTTTGCTCTTTAACTTGGATCTCTCGAAATGATGGGTGGTACTGGTACGTGAATGTGATGAGGAGGTAGCCTTTATATAGAAAAGGGTTGGGAGAAAAGATAATACTAATACAAAAGAGATATTTAAAGTGAATTTATTAAAGAAATTAATGATGGAGATAATGAGAAGAAATTCATTTGGATAAAAAATGTGAGTAGATTCTCATAGACCTGATGAACCGATTTCTTCGATACTCTTATTTTTCTTCAAGAATTGTGGCCGAGATCCAAGACTGTTTTTTATACTTAATAAACCATCACCCTTGTTTTCTAAGGAAAAGTTAACCCTTGATGTTAAAATGAAAAATCAACTAGAATCTCAAAATTCTCTAATAGACTTACAACTGCTACCAACTATAGCCAGCCTAGCGAAATATACTTTGTTAAGTCTTTCCACAATTTTATATGGAATGTGCTGAGAAAGTTGATGAAGAAGAACAAACCCAAGTAAATCAAATTAAAGCATCGACCACAACCAAGAAACCTCCACTAGTATTACATCAATAAAATTCTAGTCTTGAACATTTTTGGAAAGAGCATAACAATGCAATTACAGATGCATTCAACCAGTATAGTATACTTTACATATATATGGGTCTCATTTTTCACCAATCCAACTACACTTTGAGGTAAAGGTAAGACACTTTCAATTTTTCAAGTACATATCTATCTGAAACCAACTAGTCAATCATTCATGAGCAGTTTGTGTCATAACTCGCAAGTCCCAGCAACTGCGGACCTTCAAGTTTAGGATTATTCTCAAAGCTACAACATTAAAACAAAATAGTCACTCGAGTACCAGAGAAAAATAACTACACAAGTAACTAATAGAGACCTTAATAGGGTTGAAGAAAATTCTATGCTTCATCATATGTTCATCAACACAAACTATACGGATTTTTTTCATAAGTGCAGGGGAAAAAGAAAACTTATTTTCTCAATGGTAAAAATTAAGCGAACTATAATAGATATGAGGTAACAAAGGTGTTTCTTGCTTAGTCTTAGAATGCTGAAAATCCCATGCTTTGATAACACCAAGTGGTCGTACTGGCAATCAGTATTAGAGAAGAATGTCAAAAATCTTTTGAGTTGACATTTTCTATCTTTTAATTTTGACATTGTTAAAAGCCCCTCTATTTTCAAAATAAAGCATGCATATGAAAATTTTACCTAACAATTCTTTAAGAGATCAAATGAATCAATAGCACAAGTACAAGAACAACAACAAAACAAAAGAAATTATCTATCAAGGCCAGCAAACTGCACCTTTCTTAAGTTAAAAATTTCATCACTAATGTTAGTAATGATAATATTTCACGGCGCAAGGTCCCTCCATTAGCATCTCTTAGTGCATTCATCTATAACGTTTGGGGGTACTTTGTCTTTGTTTATACACTTAAACCGGATGTCTTTGTTTATACACTTAAACCGGAAAGAGTTTTAGCCAATTTTTTTTTCTGGACCATAGTTTTTTGAGATGATAATAGCTTTGTTATTGGTATCCATTACAGACACTCAAGTATATATATATATATATATATATATATATATATATATATATAGTAATAATAAATATACAAATTTCAGCCATTGTTTAACTCCCTTTTCAGTGAGGAACTGTGTCAACACAGATGCAGGTGTAGTCTTAAAAGTAACTAATGAACACATTCCTCATCTATATCACACAAAATAATGCAATATTCATGTCAGTGCATGACGCCTAACTACAATGCAAAAATGAGCTTGACACAAAATAAATGAGCACACAAAAAATATTACATATTAAATCAACAAAAATTACTAAAGAAGACCTTAAACAATAAGTATAGCAATGCCAGGACACAGACAAAGTTCATGATAAACCAGAGGGAAAGAACACATATGCAACAATCATAGAATCAATGTCCTTGCACATTCGTATGATAAAAATATAACTAGCAGGTAATAAAACATACTTGTTGAGAGGTATGTGTTCAAATGGTCCACTGGCAGGAATTGTCACATAGATCATTACTAGAAACATCCCTGAAAAAAAAAAAAAAAAAAAAAAAAAAAAGAGAGAGAATTTTCTCAGATTCTAAGTTTGCTGCTGTATATGATAAAACATAAGATTGCATCTATCAAAATAAAAAATAAATAAAGAAAACCATATGAAAATATTGCACATACACAACTTTGAGGCTTGAAATTCCAACAAGTTCCCTGGGAATTTTTCCAGTTAATCGGTTATCATTAAGCCGCCTGCAACAAGCAAACAATCATGTAAGAAAAGCCAGCAACTAATATCATCATGCAGCATGAGCCAATAACCAGAGAAAATTAAATTGAGAAAAATCTGCCAGAGCCTAATCAAAGAGACATGCAAGCTGCATGAACCATTGGGCACCCTTGGAGGTTCCAAAAAGGAATTAAGCAGCTGCCAAGAAATCGCAGTTTCTTCTCAAACATTACTTCCCATTTAGGATTAAAAAAAATATTTACTAATCCTGCAGATCCTTGTGTGAATTCCACAATAGACTAGCAAGTTGGCCTTTAAATAGAAATGCTAAACCTTGAGCTTGGAAGTTTGGCCTTCTAAGCCAAAAACCCTCTAGAATTAGCGGTATAATTAATCCACACACACAATGAAGCAAAAAAAAAAAAAAAAGAGAGAGAGACAAGCGGACCTCCCTAGAAACTATAAGTGCATAGCGAACCATCACAAATGGTTATTAACCTTACTTCTAGAATCTAGGTAGTCAACTATCAAATATAATTAATCCACACACACAATGAAGCTAAAAAAAAAAAAAAAAAAAAAAGAGACAAGCAGACCTCCCTAGGAACTATAAGTGCATAGTGAACCATCACAAATGGTTATTAACCTTACTTCCGGCATCTAGGTAGTCGACTATCAAACCATTACAGGTTTTTGCAGTCAAGTTAATAAGAAGAAAATCCAATTACAAATTAACAAGGCAAGCTGAGAGAACCAAAGGTCCAAAGCCTTGCACATTTCCACCATGCATGCCCAATTGATGTCTTGTCATTAATAAAAATGATTAATATTAGTTAACTTACAAAAAAACAAGAGACTTGAGTTTTCCCAAGGAGGGAGGGATGGTTCCAGAGATGTTGTTGTTATACAAGTCCAGGCTAATAAGGCCTTTCAAGTTACCAAGCTCAGCAGGGATAGTTCCTTGAATGTTGTTTTTGTAAAGCTCCCTGCACGCAGACAAAGTAAAGTCTTTAGATTAAATTTAAATAAAACCTAAACGTCAGCAGAAAACTAATGAGAACACCAAGACAAAGCATTTTTGAAACGTAAAAAAGTAGTAATCAAGGAAATGATGATGTTCAAAACAACAATTAATTTAACAACATATACTAGTACATAGTTTAGGGAAAAATTGAAGGGAAAAAACATACAAATATTGCAAATGCTCTAGCTTCCCCAGTTCAGGGACTAGATGTCCAGACAGATTTGAATTACCTAAATCCCTGCATAAATCATCATACGCTCATCAGTCATGAAGCCCGTTATAGCAATTCATAATTTTTTTTTTTTAAATTGAAAAAGAGCTCACACTAAAAGGTAACAAAAGTTTACCATCAATTAGAAACAGAACACAAAGCACAATACAATTTTTATACATGCAGCTGCTTATCAAGGAAAAAAAAAAAAAAAGACCAGCTCAGAGCACACAATTCTTTGCATAAACATACGTAATGAAATGGAAATTGCCTCAGTTGAGCCCATTAATCAGCAATTTAAGCATCTTAAAATCAGAAATTAAAAACCCACCTTACAAAGAAAGGGAAAAATTTAACACAAAAGGAAAAAAAAAAAAAAAATAATATAAAAGCAAAGATCAAGAAAGAGTAAATACAATCGAGTAACGCGATTGTCTTGATTGCAAGTGATGTGGAAACCAAGTGCAGGGATTAACAAGCGTGGGATCCCAACTTTGAAGGACGTTATCTGGATCTGATAAGCTTTTCTAAAGGTGGAAAAGAGTCTCCTTCTGAATTCCAAACACAAAACTCAGAAAAAGGCTTAAACATAACAAAACAGGAGGTAGAAGTGGTGGTGGTGGTGGCCATGGCTGATGGGATGGCTCTTTCTAGGGTTTGTTAGTTAGTTGGTTTAAAAGATTGTTGAAAAGAAAAGAGAAAGAGGAAAGGAGAGGATCGGCTTTGGAATATCAAGACTGCTAAAGTAATAAAAACCATCTATGTATTTGTACTTTGTTTTTTTTTATTTTCTTCTTCATCATTTCTTGTTGTTAGTGTTTCTAGCGATTCTTATAATATTCTATTATTCATTAATTATTTTTAATTTAATTTAAGATAGTTTAGTATTGATTCATCTGTTTGTTCTTTTTTTTGTTTTTAATAATTGTAAGACAATATTTCAGAGGTTTTAATATACTTTTTAGAGATTTTTTTTTTTTTGGTAATTATTGGGTATTTTTATAGCAAATTAATGAGTTTAATTTGATCTTATAGAAAGAAATAAAATAGGTAAAAGGATTTTTTTAATTGAAAAAGAAAACTAATTTAAAATAATGATATTGAACATGAAATGTGGTTTTGGGGTGAATAAGTGTAGAAGCATTAAGTCCACTTTGTTTGATGATATTGTCAAAGTGAATTGGTTTAATTTTGACACAATGCTTTTGCATTAAGTTAGGCGTTTTGACCGTGTCATACTTTTTTTTTTTCAATCCAATCAACACAAATTCAACCATATATATTAATTATACATTTATATATACATAACTTGATTATAAAATAACATTTTTGTTTTCTTTATTACACGCTAAGAGAGGAATCTAACCAGCTCCAATCAGTGTTGAGTAATGACGTCCACCTTTTCAAATTGTTCCAATAGATATTGTGTGCCCAATTGATTTTTGAAATAATAAAAGTGGAGTGGTGACCTTAATAAATGATGCAACACACACAGGAATCCTAAAAAGATATCATTACACAATCACTTCTAAATATTTTAATTTATTTGGACAAAATCATTTTATTCTTATTAATACAGTGACATATTAATATCTATTATGTGTATCGTTTTATATAACATAACTAAACATAACAAAAAAAGGGTGTTCGGTGTATTACTATATCATATATATTTTTCCTCATTTGATTACTATTGTTTTTCAATAGTGTTATAAGGATTTAACACGCCAAAAAGTAAGGATTAAATCCAAATTAAAAGGGTTTTTATTAAACATTGTTTTCTTATATGATAAATATCAATTATCCATAATTTTTCGTATACATAAGAGTTATGACTTGTATGTTTGGATAACAAAGCCCAAAATAAGAGTCCATAAGTTGGGAGAAGGAGAGGCCCAAATGGGTAAGCCCAATCAAGGCAAAACTTGGATACCACAACGATAAAAGGCTCAAATCAAATCAGATCCAAACCTATTGGATACACAAGGGCTCTATTTGGCTTATTATTTATCATATTCTCAATCATATTCCAAAATATATTTGTTTAATTATTTAGGAAATATAAATATTTTTTTAATTACCTTTAAACCCCTTAAGTTTATTAATTTCATTAAATAACCTAGAAAAAAGTTTTAAAAATTAACAAAAACACACCTATCCACCCACTACTTGCCAGATTCCGACAACCACTGTCAGTGGTAGCACGGAATTTGTCACAATCACCTACAAAGGATCGGAACTGGATGATAATTCACTGATCTGACGGCCAAAGAAATGATGTCGTTGTGGTCAATGACAGCCAACTCTTGGCCATGTTACCGCACAACGACAGTTAGTATGGAATTTTGCGGCCGTCGACAACTAATGGCATTTTCCGGAAAATGCATAACGAACGCCCTACTCGCCAGATCCTATCGGTCTGCGTCGTATCGCCATTTTTTTGGCCAGATTCCAACAGTGGTGGTTGGAATCTGGCACTGTGGGTGGGTGAGGGTGTTTTTGTTATTTATAAAATGTTATTTATTGGGGTGTTTAGTTAAATTAGCAAATCTAGGGGGTTTTTTGTTAATTTTAAATTTTACCTGGTTATATCCCTATTCAAAATCCTATCCAAAATAACAAATAAACGACTCAATGCTTGCGAAACTCACTTCGAAATTTTTGGTTTTGGATGATAAAAATAAGTCTTCTATAATTCTCTTATTATAGTATATAGACCTTTCACCTTTATAGGATTAAGGGTTTAACCAGGGGCGGATTTAATGAATGACGAGTGGGGACCACAACCCCCACTCAATTTTTAAAAATTTCAGATTTTCATTTCTATTCTATTTATTTAAATTTTCTCTTTATAATCTTTGAGATTTTAGAACGGAATAGCCGGCCCCCACGATAAGTTTGGATTTTGTTTTGGTAAAATCTCGTTTTAATTCAATATATTTATTACATATTCTTTGTGATTTTATTTTTATGCAAGGGATCTATTAGTTTTTTAAAATTTTATTGGGAGTGAAATGAAAGATAAGAGTGTTGGTTTCCACATAATGGTTAAATCCTGAATCAAGGGTGAAGCATGTAATCTATTTAGGGGTGAAATAAGTCGAGCACTCAAACTAACTTGATGTTGGCTTGAACTCGAGTTCGTACTAGTCGAGTCGAGTTCGAGTAGTTAATCGAGTAAAACTCGACTCAATATATTCGAAGTCTTTCCAAGCTTGATGGTTAAGTGACAATTTTTAAGTAATAGGGGTCATATGTAATTTAAAAGTTAAATTTGCAAATCCACCCCTGTTAAATGAGCTTGAAATCGAGTTCGAACTTGAACTCGATAAAACTCGACTAAAACTCAAAAAAGCTCGTTATTGATGCGTTGAACTACAACATGCAAAAAGCAATCTATTCGCACAAAGTAATAAAGTGATGAGTGAGTATCGTTCCCACGAGGATAGTGTTACTAAGTATCGATTTCTCTAGTTTAAGTCCTAATTGAGAAGAACGATAAATTGGATTGATGGAATTTGATCAAACTAAATACAAATTAACAAAAATAACTGAATGAAAATGAAATTAAAGCAAAACCCAACAACTTAACTAATTAAACAATGCAAAAAAAAAAAAAAATGCTAGGGTGTTGATTTCACCTAGATACGCAACTCAAATCATAGAACTATTACCCAGTTCTAATTCTTGATTGAAAATCGAATTCCCTAAGTTGTAAAACATACCTTCTCAGGCTACATTTCCCTACTTATCCCTATTAAGCTTCCGCACCCAACAAAATGAAGATTAATAGTTCAAAGGATTTTAAGCTTTATGGAATCTATATAGATTTCATAGATCGCTAAACCTATCTCTAGCGTTTGCTTAATCTACGTATTACCTAAGAGGCACAATCACAAATCACTTCTCAATCTCATTATGAACAACACACATTTGAATGGTGATCAAGCATCCAAAAGTCATTAAGCAAAGAGATAAACACTCAATCATGAAATTAAAACTCAAAGTAAATCAATTGATATAAATTTGAATCATTGTATCAAGATTACATCAAACCCTAGCTAAACAACTCAGTTCATACTCAAAAACGAAATAAAAGAACAAAAACAAACTGAATCAAGATTAATCATTGAAAAACAAGCAAAAGATGGAGAAATCTTCTCTAATTTGAAGCCCAAATCTTCAATAATTTTCTCCTTCCATGACTGCCTCCCAAATGACGAACCAAGACTCCTTTTTTCTTTCCTTTTCGCTCTAATTTATACCTCTTTCACTTAAGGACCAAACCCTAGCAAGCCAAAACGCGTCATTTTATTTTTACATCTGATTTAGTTTTCACCGCGGCGAAGCTTTTTCCTCATCGCGGTGAAGACTTTCGGGCCAAATTTGAGCATGATAGAGTCTGAATATGAAGAAGTGTTAAACATATGAATTGTAGCCCTTTAAATCTAATCCGCATAATCCGAGGTCTACATCTTAAGTTATGGCAAAAATACTGAAGCACGTCCAAAGACGTTTTTCTTCAGTTCCCAACGTATTGTTCACGACTTCAAGCCAAGTTTTCGCCCTTGTCCAGTCAGAATTAGGAAAAACCCAAAACATGAAGGTTATAGCTCTTCTCCTTAGCTTTCCAAAGCTTCTAAATTCAGGTCATTCCAAGTTTCCAAGCTTAAGTTAGACAATTTATGCTCAAAACTGCCATTTATGCTAAAAATCATCGTTTAGGCCTGCCAAGACAAATTAATAGAATTAGGTAGCAATTATGGCCAAAATTGTATGAAAAGTATCCTAAATCCTATCAAAATTCAATGCAAAATCATAGTATAAAATATGATTATCAATTATACAAACTTGAATTCAAACTCGATTTCCAATTTCAAGTACCGAGTTCGAGTTTGAACTTGATTTCTCAAGTTCGATCAGGCTTTAACTCGAACTCGAACTCGATACTATAGAGATCAAGTTGAGTTCGATTTACCAAATACTTGACTTGATTTGATTTCACCCCTAAATCTATTAGATGTAATATATTCCTTTGATTTTGCATTTAGCTTGTATATGATGAAAAGTATATTAGCAATTACTAATGAGTTGTCACAAGCATTGTAGAGAAAAGATCAAGACATTGTAAATGCTATGGCCTTAGTCAAAGTCTCCAAAACAACGGTTACAATTGTTGAGAGATGAAGGATGAAAATCTTTGTTGAGTGAAATTTCTTTATTTTGCCAAAAACATAATATTGCTATTTTGAATATAGATGATATGTTTGCAATTCGAAGGCAGCCACAACGAAGAGTTGAGCACATGAAAAATTTGCATCACCATCGAGTTGAATTGTTTTATACAGTGATAGATATGCAACTTTAAGAACTTAACACTCGTTTCACTAAAGTTAGTACTGAGCTGCTTCTTTGTATGACATGTTTATATCCAAGTATTTCATTCTCTACTTTTGACAAGCATAAGTTGATCTGTTTTGCCCAGTTTTATCTAACTGATTTTTCTGCACTTGAGTTGATGGTACTTGAGAACCATAATAGGACTTATGTT